ATAATAAGTGTCACGTTAAAACTAGGCCTGAGGCCTGCTCCCAGATCTCTATCTATGATGCTCATTTCCCTGTCCAGTAAATCGACTATAAAAAAATCCAGATTTAGAAAAGAGATGCTGAACAAATTATTTTAATGAAATGTGGATCCCACACAAAATGTCATACCCTACCTTTTTTTCTTTACAGCATTACGGTTCTCCCTATTTTACATTTATTCACAATTTTGAAATATCGATCATTAGATATTGAAGAATAGTGACTTCTTTATGTTGTTGGTTTAATTCAAATTAATAACATATATCAAACATAATGCATCTGACTGTATTACTTGGCACTTCTGGAAGGCTCCTGATTATAAAGTCATTTAGAACACATATTATAAAAACCTGACAATAAAACAAATATTAAAAGTTGTTTTTGAAGAGTCAGGTCCATAGCAGTCTTACCTTAATGACGGGAAAAATAGCAAAATAATGTTGTGTAAGTTTGATACATTGACATTCAAATGATACAACAATAACAAAAGCATCCCAGGACCACAGTTAGATTTACGCTGTGAACGTATATGCCAATATATAGGGCCGGGTTTTGCTTTGAGTGGTGAACAAATGCTATCACCCGTTATACTTGCAATTAGCCATAGGTGCTACATGGCAGATTTCTGTCAACCAATCATCCAAAACAATGTAGCACCCTCTGCAGAGCATCTGGGACCTGTGTGAACAGAGCAAACAACTATGCAATCTCCTCAACCAGTGAGATTGAGGAATTAGAAAGGGACAATAAAGAATTTAAACAACTGTAAAGTGAATTCAGTGACTGATCAAATACACAAAACAAAGTATAGGCAGAGGAAGAAAGATTGGATTAAGAAAGACAGCGCTAAAACAGACATGAACAATAATTAAAAGCTGGAGGAATGAGAATCTACACTTATAAAAGTTAATTTTTAGTGTAGACAGTTTGTTTGGCATTACTTAAGTCCTGTTACATCATTCAGAAGGTATCTAGATGAGAACGAGCAACCCTAACCATTGTTCAATCCTTATCTACAGTCTGCACAGGAACTTGATATCATTCAATACTTTTGAATGGGGTGCCTAATGACAAGATGAGTTTGTGTGCAGCCTATTGAGTAGCATCATTTATTGTAAAGTAGCCTCTGATTAGTATTCCTATCTGTGTGTGTACAGTCATCAGAAGGTGCTATAATTTCTAAGTAAATAACAGTCACCAACAGGAGAAACTGGGACTGCTTTCATTTTAGCTGAGGAGATTGGATACTGGTCAAAATCATAAATGGTTTTGATACAAGTACATAAGGAAACATGTCGGTGCAGCCTTGTGGGGACCGAAGGGCCTGTTCCTGTGCTGTAATTTTCTTTATTTTGTTCATTGAAAACCAGTTTCTAGTAGCTGAAGGGTCAGCAATGAGAGGACACACATTTAATGAGATTAAATGAACCAGAGGGGAGATGGTAAAATATATTTTGCACAGTGGGTAGTGATCTAAAATAGTTGCTTGGAAGGGTGGTGGAAGCAGACTCAAATGTAGGTTTTGAAGGGAATTTGGAGAAATGCTTGAGGTGGAAAAAATCCAGCGCTTTGGCAAAGAATAAGGATGGGTCAAACTAGAGAGCTCTACTAAAGCATTGCCACAGTCACAATGGGTCAAATAGCCTCCCTTTGTGCTTTCCCAATTCCTGATTCTTCAGAATTGTTTTAATACCTACAAGACACTGACATGCCCATTCAGCTCAACAGATCCATTTTGCTGCATATGGTTTAGATAAGACTCCGATCGTCATCTAACCCCATAACTCCAACTTTCTATTTCTTTTACCCCTCATGTAGTTATTTAGCTTGCCTCAGATGTGTTGATGCTATTTTTCTCTACTTCTCCTTGTATGTTCTACATTCTAATACCTGGGTAAGGAAACTTAGCTTAATTTCTCATTGGATTTATTGGTGACGATCTTGTAACAATGGCTTGTACTTCTAGTCCTGCCTGCAAATGGAAACATCCTCTCTACATTTACCCCAAAAAATCTTTTTATAATCTTGAAGATTGTCATCAGGTCAAGTCTCTGTCTTTTCTTCTCAAGAGGAAAGTGCACCACCCTGGTCAATCTTCCCTAAAACATTTGACCTTTCAGTTCTGATATCATTCAATTAAATCTTTTTTGCGCCTTCTCTAGTGCCTCCAGTTCCTAGGAAATGTGGGCCTTTAATATGAAAGCCAAAACTGTTTACTGTACTCTGAATGGGGTCTAACGAAGGTTCCATGCTAATTTAACATAAACTCTCTGTTTTTCAATTCTACTCACTGAGAAATGGGGTCTGTGCTATATATTTTTCATTGCCATATTAACTTGCATCACTACTTTCAAGAAGCTGTGTGTCTGTATTCCTAATTCTACATGTTCCTCCACCTCATTTGGACACTTGCTTCGCAAAGAGGTCATGACCTCCTTAATCCTTCTACCAAAAAGTAAAAGATTGCATTTATCGATATTAAATTTCAGCTGTCTGATAGACTTTAGTGAGGAAAGGGAAGTTGGAGATTAATTATCTCTGTATGTAAATAAAATGCTTCTCTTTATTATAGCTGTGACTATACTTGCAAAGTATCACATTGATTTTCTAAACTGAAAGCTGCTAGATAATTACAATCTTTTTTCTATATCTATTGTTACATGCCTAGCACATCATGCCAATAATCAAATCCTTAACAGTTTTATTCTGATTGCGACCAGATAAAAGTAGGATGAAATCATTCTTTATACCATATGAGAATGTACAGATTGTTTTAAGCTGACAAATAACAACTCCAGTTTATTATTCTTACTCCCCTCATTTTTGCCCCCATCTTCTTGATGTAGGCAACCAAAAGTAGTAAAAACGGATCATTTTGTTTTTGATTATGAAGCTTCAACACAATCGCAATATGCAGTTAAAAGTTATGAAGAGAAACCTGAATGCATTTGAAATGTGAATAAATAATCAGACCAAACATTGAGCTGCACTATTGTGAATGTGTGACTGCAATGTTTAAAGGTTAACAAGCTAATTCTTTCAATGTACACATCACCACTGTTAAAGCTTCCAGATTATTTTTCTTTACAAATTACCTTTAAATATTATTATTAGGTATTTCAAGTTAATCATCTGGATGTATAGCAAAACACATTGTCAGGTTTCACATGAAATTTGATGAAACACAACTTAAATTCTCTACATACCTTGTCACACTATCACCTCCACAGGAACTTCCTCCGCCCCCACCCACACACCTTGAGCTGACTCTTACATAGAACATTGCTTATACAGTGTCTAGTATTGAATAAACAGAAATTTTCCCTGAGTAGATATTTGGAAGACCAAACCATTGTCTTTGAACCCAGACACGAACCCCATTTCCTAACTACCATTTCCATTCTACTCCCAGGCAACTGTTTGAGGCTGATCTAGGCCATTTCAATTTTAGTGTCATATTTGACCTGGAAATGAGTTTCCAGAAAGATAACTACTTCATCAGCAAAACCATGAACTTTCACCTCTGCAGTATCAATCAACTCATCCACTTCTGAAACCCTCATTCATTCTTTTGTTTCTTCTGCACTTCATAATCTTGAGATCATCCAAAACTCAATTTTCCATATCCTATACATCACCACTACCCATTCACACACCACCCTGTCCTCATTATTCTACATTGGCTACCAAGTCAGCAATGATTTAATTTTGAAACCTTCATTATTTTATAAAATTGCTCTGTGATCTTGCTTCTCCCTATCTCAGTAACTTCCTCAGTCACTACAAGTCTCTTGAAATTCCCAATTTTATTTGCTCCATCATTAGTGGCCGTTACTTCAACTGCCCAGGCCCTAAGCAAAAGGAAAAGGCAACGACAGTGCCAGAATTCAAACACATTTGTTCTGCAATTTCTTCTAACATTTTCTAAATTATGATATCAAATTCATAAAGTCAAGTAGCAAATCCCACTCAGATACAATCACTTCCCCAAACTGAAATAACAATAGTTTATGAGACTCATTCATGAATTGGAACTGAAAAATTCTAGCCATTGCAGTATAATATATCATCATTTTCTATGTCATATTGTTAATGGAAATTACATTTTAACCAAGACACAAGTATCTTTATTCCCATGTATAAAATATAAATTGTTTATCTTTAAGGGTGTATGCCAAATGAACAGGATACAAAGTATCTGAATCATATAATTCCTCCAGAAACAAAAAAACCCTCCAAATTCATTAGCATATCCTTTTCTCTGTTGAATGTTGTTTAAAATGGTGTTAATTTAATAGGGTAAACAGAAGGGCAATCCTTCATGTGAACTAAATAAAACTTGAACAGATAGACTGACAAATAATTTTTAGAAGGAATTTGGAACCTCAAATCTTCAATAAAATACAATAGATAAAACGTACTTGTTATAACAGAACAGTCCACAAGTTAGGATTAGTATTAGTAACAGAGCAAAAAAACTGATAATGTTCATACAACTGTTTATGTAGCATTCCTTGTGTTAAACACAAGCATCAATGTCGTTATTTCCAATAGGTCAATGTTTGTTAAAATTGCTGATGGGGGAATGCCATGCAAGTGTGCTAAGGATTTGGCTATTAACATGAGCAATAGTAATTTCCTAGGTTTGTATTTCACCTAATTACTTATTTATAAGTTGCAACCTATAATTGATAACTGTGAATGGAAGGCTGCTGTTGTGACTAAGAATGCCCACCTTGTGCTGCAAAGCAACCAATCTAACAATCTTCATAATATCTTAATTCCTGTTGCTCACTCACAATTACCACACTCATTAATGCATGTCACTGTCACAGCTAGAAGAATTATGGAATTTCGCAGACAATTTTATGGCACTTTCCATTCAGTCATTCCTCTCCTTTTTCTAAAATAAAAATTCTGCAATTTAAGAAAATAAAAGTAAGGGTATTGAGGGTGCCCTTACCTTCTTGTCTTCCTGATCATTTGCTTGTCGCTTTTCCTGACTGTAGCTGTCACGGCCAGTTGCACTCTCCTCTTGTTGCCCATCCTGCTGCTGTTGCTGACAGCCACTGCCTCCAGACCCCTGAGCGTGGGGGATGGGCTCCGAGCTCCCGTTCTCCCGACACTGAGAAACTCCGTTTACATCCATCTCGATCTTTCAATTCACTACATTGCAAAACATTGAAAAACAACAAAAAGCAGATTATTTCAACGCCGCCTTGTGGGTGCGGGTGGGGGGGTGGTGCTGTAATGCGAGCAGCGCGCCCGAGAGAGGGAGAATGAGGCACAAATCGCAGACTTTTTAATTTGTCCTTGTGCAATGGCCTTCAATCGCCCCTAAAGAAAAAAAAGGCAATCGCTAACTAAGCAGATCGCTAACGAGCGAGAGCAACTCGCCGATCAGTGTGCTGTCATTATTTACTTTATCGGCTGCTATTGGATCGCTTCCACCACAGCTCTGGACCCATCCCAAAGTTACAAAAGAAAAGAAAATCTCAGGGATTATTGCAGTGTAGCTGATGGTGTCAGCTTTAAGAGCCGTTTTTAAATGACAACCAAAAGTTAAAACCACCTCCGAGTGAATTACACCCGACCCCTGGAACGCAGATGCAATAAATGTTTTTCAAACCTGCGAAATGTGGCGCCGATGCTGACACTCGGGCATTTACACGGCTATTTTGGTTCTGATGTCGTTCATCTATCCTCTGTGTGACCGTGGCTCTGTCAGACTCAGCCGGCGTCGCGCCACGCAGCATTTGCACAAGGAGAACTGGAGTAAAGGGAAAGCAAGGGGGAAAATTCAGAGAGGAAATCGAAATCTCCACTTATCCACTGGAGTCTTGGAAAGCCTACGGTTCCCAGCTTCACAAATAAGAGAGGTCTCACGTTAAAGCAAGCTGGATAATTAAAAAAAAACTCTTGAAAGGGCCTCGAGTAAAATTGTTTCAACTTCAAGAATTATTACTCAGGGATACATTTTCTGTAATCTCTTCCACCCTCCCCCTATCTCTTATATAGTACAGTGGCACTACAACATAGGCCTCGCTGCAGAAAGATACAATGATGAAAACAGAAGTTTCCAAATTGAAATACTGGAGTATTTTGGCCTTTGGACCAATCTTGTAAGTTTTTAAAACTGCTGAAATGTAAAATGTCTCCAGATGTTAACATTATAGAGGTTGCACGTTTCAATAATAAATAATGGAAAAGATGGCATAATTCGCATTTTATTTTTTTGAATTATCAGAGTTATATGGGAAATAATTAACATTACTTGAACAGTATTTCACAAAAGGAAATGTATTCAATGGTGTAAATAGTATAAAACGTTAGAGTGCTGTTTGAATAGTTTAGAAAGGTCATGTCAACCTATAGATTCTTTTACTAACTGTGCCTCACAGAGCACTAGGGTCATTTTCAACATTGCCATTGACCCTCTAAAATTGCAGATGAGTCACTCACTGGATTACCAATCCGGCAGTGAAAACGAAAAATGCCCTCAATGTTCATCCTGTATAGGGTACATTATCTGGGCAAGTAATTTACAATGACTGAACAAGTCAATTTTCATTTTTGTCTGAAATAACATTTTGAGAAAGCAGTACCAAATAAAAACTACCAAATGCCTATATATTTAATGCTATTCCTTGATTAGCTCTATATCTGAGAATGCAAAGCAAAATGTAACATCAACATTAGCAATCTAAGAGACAATTTTAAATGTGCCTGTTCTCACCCCCTCCATACACACCCATCTCATAATGACTGGGAGTGCATCAGGGAAATGGATTGGGGAAATGGTTAAATCACAAACTTCAGGAAACCCACCACAAATTTACAACTTCCCATTTTAGCTGTGGCTGGTTTCACGGCAATGTTCAGTAACCAGCACAATCCATTTTTTTTAATGCATCCCTGAGTAGTAGCACGTCCAGTGGAGTATTACCAAATCAAGGTAGGCACTGTGCCACAGAAGAGATTTAGGATGCAGATACCCAAAAGGTTTGCAAATGAATAGGTTATAAAAATCATCTCGAGCAGACATGGAGGCTTACAAAGTTTTGGGGAGAGATTTCCAGAGCTTAGCACTTTAGGTGAAGACACAGCACAAAATGGATAGAGACATTGAAGTTAGGAATTTCAAGAGCGTCCACAAAGCTGGTATCAAAAGAGAGCAAATATCTTGAAGGATTGTCGGACTGAAGGAGATTTATGGGGTAGGGAGGAGAACGTTATGGAGGGAAAATAGAAATGAAGATTTTAAATCAGAGGTATAGCTTAACCAGGCATCAATGCATGGCAGTGAACATACGGATGATGGGTAAACAGGATTTGACGTGCATTAAGATGTAGGCAGTAATGATTGGATAACTTCTAGATTACGTAGGTTAGAATGTGGAAGTACAATCTGGAAAATGCAGTGATAGTCAAGTCTAAAAATCAGGATTTAACCATTTAAAACAGAGGCAAGGCAAAAAGAATTCAAAGGGTCATGAATCTTTGGAACTCTCTATGTGAAAAGCTGAAAGCAGAGTTCTTGCATATTTTTAAGACTGAGGGAGTTAGATTCTTGTTTGGCAAAGGGGTGAAAGCTTCTCAGGATAGATGGGAACGCAGATTTGAGGTTACAAACAAATCAACTGTGATATTGATAAATAGTGGAGCAGGCTCAAAGGGCTGAATGACCTACTTCTGTTTCTGGCATGTGTGTTTGTATGTATTGTTGAGGGTTCAGTAAGTGAGCTGAGGCAGGAACAAAGTCATGCAAAGCTATGGAGGTGGGCGTAGGCTGTCTTACTGATGGCACATATACATAGTCGGAAGATCTAGAGTCAAATCTGACACCAAGGTTACAAAGAGTCTGATTCAGCCTCATGCATTTGCTACAATGAGTGATAGAGTAGATGGCTAGAGAACTTTTTTTGTGTCAAGGATCAAAAATAATGCCTTCAGTATTTCCAATTATTTAGTTGGAAGAAATATCCTGTATTCCTGAACTGGATGTCGGACAAGCAGGGTTATAATTTAGAGGCAGAGAGGTGCGAGTGAGATAGAACCTGGGTGTTGTCAAATTGTACATGCGGATGCTACATTTTCAAATATCACTGAGAGACAACATGCAGATAACAGGTAGGAAAGGGGCCAAGGATAGAAGTAATGGTGCAGAAATGAGAAGAGAAAATCATTGCAGCTGATTCCCAGACCACCACTGGATAAGACTAAAACCAACTGAGTACAGGTAGATATTGGAGGAGAGATTTCGCAGGAGAATAACAGATAGCTATATCAAAGAACTATGGAGAGGTTGAGGCAACAGTTGACTGTTGAGGGACAGTTAACTTTGTCACATAGGCTGATTTGTATGGCTTATTATTTTGATATTTAAGTGAGCTCTTTTCCTAAGATTTTGGCAGTTATTTATGTACCCTGCATGGGTTTCATAGAGCTTGGGAAACTTGTCAATGAAAGCAAGTAGTGTCATGGCCTGTTTTGATTTTACTTCAGAAAATGAATGCAATCAACATTCACATCAGCATGAGTGGGCTGTAGAGGGATAGTGAGAGTTATAGAGTCACTGGCCACATCCACAAACAGGGCCTTTCTTAATCTTCTGGAAAGTTTAATGCTTCTGGAGGCTGAAGCTGACAGCTTAAGCAGTCAAAGATACTGCACAATCCAGGGCAAAGCCCTGCTCTTGGCAGAACATGGTGACTATGTATTACCAGGTCCTGTGAAAATCACACCACCCTCAACGGTTTTTGTCTCTTAGTTCTTTCCAAAGTGTTACCAAAGACACATTGAGGGTCTCAAAAGCAACTGTACATAAATGCAGAAGGGAGGTGACAGATGAGGGTTCTGTCAGGGCTGAAGGTTACACAAGCTTCCTCTGTGTTAAAATTGGCAGGCTCCCGATTTGTGTCTATGGCTGTCTTCACACACCAGGCCATCTGTCCACCACCAAGCAAGAATGATGAATGCATTAAAGTGGTTGGTAGTCATAAATTTTCTGTTAGTAAGTAATTAGACTGTACATCCTAATATAAAATTTTCATTAATATCTGTGCTGATACACTTTGCGATCTTCAAAGCCTTTCTTTTTCTTCTCCACTGTGGTTTCAATAGAGGTACAGGCTGGTTACTCTGTTCCCTGTGCAGGAGCAGGTTCAGTCACAGAGAGAGGAAACAAAATGCCAAATGCAGGTTGAGGGTGGGAAGTGGGCACATTTGAGGAGAGAGCTCAGTTCCAAAATCTTTCTCACCGTCAACCTTCTCAAAGGCCAATAACATATCATTCCTGCCTCTCTGCAGGAAAGCAACCTTCAGCAGATCAGTGATATTTTGTAAAACCCCTGATGACATACCTCCCATTCTATATCGCGCAGAAGGAATGTTGGTATACATAGTTACCCAGTCACAATCAGGGTGTGCTGCTCTTTGTTATGTGCAACCTATGTGTAGTCCCATTAGAGTGGTTCCATGGCCATGCACAAAGGCATCTTAAAGATTGAGTACAGCCGCTTTATTCCCAATGGGGTCGATTCTGGATGTTAGTGCTCACATGCAGATTTTAAGAAACATTGCTGACTAATATGCCATGGTTTGAGTTCCACTTAGACATTTGTTCTGTCCTTAGAAGATGGGCTGCAACATCAATCTATAACATTGGGAATTACTCCTTTATCCTTCTCTAATATTGACAATACAGTATGTATGGCAGGACAGCGAGTATCTTGCTGATTTGCCCATGACCCTGTTTCATTCTCTTTTTTGTTGGTGACTCCCACAGTTCAACATCTCTGTCCAGTTGATTGGTGCTTTGTACAGGCTGCGCACTCAGAAGCAGACACTCCACAGCGCTCCCCACCATCTTCTCTTCCCATGCTCTTTTGTGAACTATGATAGATCAGATGAAATTCCAACAAATTCTCTAACAACACCCAACAAAGACCTTGTATTTACTCTTATGCATGGTAAGCATCTGCTTTGTGAATGCTGTCCCTTCATACGGAATCCCTTCCTCTCAGGAAATATTGTCCACAAGGGGCTGTTTTTCATCTGATCACTCTGGAAGAAACAAGAGGGAAATGTGATGTTATTTTCTGAACGCAAAAACTCCTGATGTTCATCATGCTTAAGATGGTCATATGTCATCTGCGCTGAACTCAAATCAACAATGAATTAGTCTTGTATAAGATGCAATTTGATGATATTTAATGCTGTCTCCATGAGACAGTGAAGTGCCACAATCTTTGATGCCCAGGGATACTCCTTCATGGCCTCTTGCTCTGCAAATTCCAAAGCCAGGATCAGTGATGCCTCACCTCTGGTCTTTTTCCTTGGATTTGCACTCCTATGGCCTGCAAGGAGGTGCAACAGATCTATGATGTCTAGAAGGCATGTGTGTTTCCATTGACTGCAGTGCATTTGGTGAAAGTGACATCGGACGTATATATCTCCAGTGGGATGGACAGCCGTGGGCACACCCCTTCAGAGGACAGAGGACAGACACAGTCATGGTCAGCTGGTCAGAAATGCAGAGCCTCAGTGGTCACATACAAAGAGAACAGCATCAAGTGATGTGTGACCCAGTGATCCCTGAGGCTGTATGGAGTCATGAGCAGTAAATGGAGAAGTCCATCCATGTTGTGTATTCCATTATGTTCGCCAATAGAGAGAATGGTCAAATTCTTGGAGAGCCGTATGTGGCAATAAGCTGAGTAGATGCAAAAGCAACAGACTGACTGCTCAGCAATGAA